GCGGAAGGCCGCGTCGCACTTCGCGGCGACAAGGGCCAGGAACTGACGCGGGGGAGTCCGCGCCCCAGCGGGGGCGCGCTGCAATGCGCGCCGTTGCGCGGCGATTCCAAAGTCCGCGAAGTGGTCTGCCAACGCGCCGCGCGTCGGCGTCGAGCCGGCGCATAACACGGCAGTTCCTCCCAAGCAAGGCGGGGCGCCCGGCGCCCTTAGGGGTCGCGCGGGGATCTCGCGCCGGGCGCCCCCATGTAGCCCCAGCACAATGGGGCCGCCAAGAGCCCGCGCTTCAACTTGAAAACGGCAGCGGCCCAATTGAATTTAATCTACTCTTCTTCTTCAATTTGGAATCGCTCCTGATTCAGAATCATATTGTCTCGTTCAGTCGGCAGCGGCCCAATTGAATTGAATTGACTCTTCTTCTTCAATTTGGAATCGCTCCTGATTCAGAATCAATTTGTCTTGACCGACCCTGCGAGGCGTTCTGGGCCACTTGGAACTGGGCCTTTTTCGATGTGTCATTGGGCCTCGCTCGAGTTGGAGAGTGGGTCTGGGGGCGCCGAAATGTCGAATCCGGGCGCCATTGCCCGAACGCGCATCGAATGGAACATGCCCCGGGCGACTGCGGCGGGCCCTGTTAGCCAGACAGGGGGGGCGGGCCAGGCAAGCCCGCCCGGCAATCCTCGCGAGCAGAGCCAACCGTCGCAGCCTGACCGACCAAGCAAAGAGCACTCAACCAGCCAGGCGAAGGAATGAAGCCGGGGCCCGTCGCGCCAGCCCGCCCAGCGGGGCCGGGGGTCGCCCGGCCACCCAGAGATCATTTTTTTATTCCGGTAACGCTCGTTACCCGGGGGGGGGGAGGGGGGGCCGTGCCCCCCGGGTAACGGTAACGCTTGGGCTGGGCGGGGCATGGCGAAGCAGGGGCGCTCTGCGATCGCCATAGTATGCGCGCGAGCAGCACTCTCTGCCTGAGAGCACCACAGTGGCTTGCGATTCGAGTACAAGCGCAAAGCCCGCCGCGTGGTCCCGGCACCACGCCCGCGCCCGCGCGCGCGACGACGATGATCGACGAGCGACGAGCGACGAGGTCGACGACGACGACGACGACGTTTGCCGCCTGTTTCGGCCTCCGGAGGCCGTTTTCGGGCGCCGTCGACGACGACGACGACGACGACGACGACGACGACGACGACGACGACGACGACGACGACGACGACGACGATTCGAGTACAAGCGCAAAGCCCGCAAGCACCAGCATCGCGCATGCGAGCGCCGCAATGGCCTGCGAGCGCCCACAGTGCGCCTGCGACCACCACACCACAGTGCGCATGCCTTCGGGCACCAGCATGTTGGAGGGGAAGACCGAGACCCCCCCCGCGCACGAGCGTTACCGTTACGGGGGGGGGGGGGGGGAGAAGCCCGGGTAACGAGCGTTACCCCCCAGAGGATCAAAAAACAATCTCCCAGACAAACCTAAGCCATCCCAACCATTCGAAGCTGGCCGAAAACAGCAGAGCGAGGGAGACTGCTCGGACCGCCAGACCAAACAGATCAGCCAGCCTCGCGAGAAGGACCGACCACGGGAGAAGGAAGATTTGCCGGCGACGGACGCAGACGGGCAGGAGGGGAGCGGGAGAAATGGCGGGACGGCGCACGATGCGCCGGGAGGGCTGGATTCCCAACATAGAAGATGACGCTCCGGCGGCGCAGCGAGAAATCGAAGGCGACGGGCGAGGAGACGTGGGAACTGCCGCGTCTCGTCCTTCGTAGCAGTTTGTCGTCGCGCTCCTGCCAGACAATGCGATATCCCATGGAATGCGAGCACGGCGTTTCAGTGCCCCCCCCCCCCCCATGTCTGATCCTGCGATGAAAAAGGCGCGCAGACAATAGCGACCAATTTAACGGACGCGGCGCGGCTGCTGCGACATGCGCGAAGAGCGCTCCGCGGGGAGGGGCGGCCCCGCCGGGGACCTAGGCACCCCAGGCACCCCAGAGAAACCGGGCCCCAGATGGGCCCAAGAAGGCCAGTCGAGAAACTTGCACGGGGGCAGCATGCCCACGGCAACGCGGGGGCCAAGGAGAGCTGGGGAACCGACCTCGACGACCCCCGAGGTGGGACTCGCTGCTCGTCGTGCTGCCGATGCCCCAGGGCGGCTTTCGCCCCGCGGGCATGCTCCAATGGCCCCAATCGCCTGCGGGGCCGCGCGGGGCTGACGGAGACAAGGAACCGGGGCGCCGAGCTGCGCGAGGGGCTGGCCAGCAACTTGTTTGGGGGGGGGGCGAGGCCGCGCGCCAGAAGCAGCGGCGCGGCGGCAGGCGTCCGCCCCCATCGACCTCTGGAGGGCCCACGAGCTCGTCGACCTCACTATCACCCAGCAGCGGGGGGCGCTGGCCAAGTGTCGCAGCGGTCCCCTCACGATGGGACTCAACATAAGAGCAGGCGAGCTGCGCATCATGCTGGATGGCGGCGCGTCCGAGGGCTTCCACCTGGACGCGTGTCTCACTGCAGGATGTGATCACGCAGGCCGTCTTCTCAAGTGCGGCGTGCTGGTAGCGGCTGACGAGCCTGCGCGCATATGGAGGGTGCCCGAGCCGAGGGTGGCCCTCGCCATCATGTTCGACAACTGCAACCTCGCCTGCCGCGGCCCCATGGCGCATGCCGGGGCCTACCTGGCAGGCGCAGCCACAATGGTCCTGTAAGGCCTCGAGGCCTTGGGCTACAAAGTCTCGAAGGACAAGGGCGAACTGCTCGCCAGCTCCACGGCGGCGGCATCCTTGGTCTCCAAGTTCTCGGGAGTGCAAACCTTCCTCATCACTGGCAGTGCGGAGAATCTGGGGGTGGACTACTGCGTGGACGGCCAGACCCACTGCATTGGGGAGGGTCGCAAGCTCAAGGCTGCCGCCCAGCTGCAAGCGGCGCATACAGTCAGAAGACAGCGCTCGGGCGCCTGGGCGGATGGCTGACACAGGCCTGGGGTGGGTCAGTTGATGAGCCAGAGGGTGGTGCACGCTTCGAAGCCGAGCAGTGTAGCAAGCCAGGCGCGCCACTGTGCGACTGGCGCACGCAGCTTGCACCACCAACGGCGTTCGCCTGTCTCTGTGCTGGCTACGCCTGTTTCGCCGTTGTCAGTCTACACCGAACTGCTCAAGGTCAGCAGGCACGATGGTGGAGGAACACCCGTTGGAATAGCTAGCACACTCCTTGGCTGTCTCCGCAGGGAAACAAGGGGAGTACAGACCGCTGGGGATAGGAGCCCAAAGGTGGTGCAGTCCGCCCTTGCCAATCAACCGCTGTCTGTCGCTGCGTGCGCCCGCCCACCGCTAGTGCGGCAGCCGAACCAGGAGGAGTAGTTCGCACGTTCCGAAGTTCACCTGCACGGGGGCTGGGGGTGCACAGACCGTCTCGACCAAGCGCCAGAAGGTGGTGCACGCTCGGCCGCCGCACTGCAATTAAGCGTCGCAGTCTGTGACACCCCGCGACTCGCCGAAGGGCCTGGCGCTGTAACTCCGCCTGCTGTCGTCGAGGGCGGCCTAGCCGACAGGTGGGGACGGACCCGATGGATCAGGCCCGAACACTCCACGGTTCCGTGCCCAGAGGGATCGGGGGCGCACAGACCGTCTTGGCGGCCAGGAGCCTGGAAGGTGGTGCACGCCAGGTCGCCCTTGGAAGCCTCCGCTGCGCAGGTGCTAGGCACAAGCGCGCGGCGGAGGGCGTAGTGCTCGAGCCGAGGCTTAGGCCCCAACATGCAGATGCGGTTGGCCTCTGCCGGCATGCTTGCGTCACAATCCTGCCACGAGCTGGCTCCTCGCTTCCGCCCGAGGCACGGTCTGCCGTTGCGTGCGAGGCACCCAGGGCAGCGATAGGGCTTGGCCAGCTGTCAAGGTGTGTATCCAGACTGTTTCTACTGCACTGGATCATCATCATCATCATCATCATCATCATCATCATCATCATCATCATCATCATCATCATGATCATCATCATCATCATCATCATCATAATCATACTCATCATCATCAGCAGCAGCAGCAGAAGCAGCATCAACAGCATCAGCATCAGCATCATCAGCATCAGCATCAGCATCAGCATCATCACCACCATCATCATCATCAGCAGCAGCAGCAGCAGCGCCATCATCATCATCAACCTCATTATCAGCGGCAGCAGCACCAGCATCATCATCAGCAGAATCATCATCATCATCATCATCATCCGCAGCAGCAGCAGCGTCATCAGCATCCTCATCAGCATCATCATCATCATCATCATCATCAGCATCATCATCATCATCGTCAGCAGCAGCATCATCAGCATCATCAGCATCATTAGCATCATCATCAGCAGCAGCACCATCCTCATCATCAGCATCAGCAGTTATTACAGCACCATCATCATCACCATCATTATCAGCATATTCATCATCATCATCATAATCAGTTTCATCGCCAGCATCATCATTAGCAGCAGCATCATCAGCATCAGCATCATCAGCAGCATCGCCATACTAAAACTGCTAAACAGCTTCATCATCATCGAACATCAACATTATCATCATCCAACATCATCATCGTCATCATCCACTACCCACCACCCATCACGCATCATCAATCACCCGCGTCATCCCCATCCGTCATCATCATCATCACCAGCAGCAGCGTCAGCATCATCATCAACATCATCAGCATCGCCATCATCATAAGCATCATCAGCATCGTCGTCACTATCATCCGCCTGTGGGGTCCATCAGCATCATCGGCAGCATCCTCACTAGCATCGTCATCCTCAAGATCATCAGCTTCATCATCAACATCAACAGCATCATAATAAGAATCAGCATCATCAGTAGCAGCAGTAACATCACCGTCATCACCCACACTGTCATCAACACCACCACCATCATCATCAGCATCATCATCGTCATCATCATCATCAGAAGCAGCAGCAGCAGCAGCACCACCACCACCACCACCATCGTCGCCACCGCCAACATCATCACGGGCGGCTCCTGTGCCAAGTGGGGCGGCAGCAGCGCCAGGCCGCCGCTGGACGCCGCCACGGGCGGCCACCCGCCCGCGCTGGCTGGGTGCTCCCTGGACAGTTGGCGGACGCACTCCTCGAGGGCGGGAGCCGCGACGTGGAAGGAGGAGGAGGCGAAAGGAGGAGGAGGCGACAGGAGGAGGAGGAGGAGGAGGAGAACGAGGAGAACGAGGAGGAGGAGGAGGAGGAGGAGGAGGAAGAAAGGGAATGGGGGGAGTACGGAGCAGACGAGGGAGCACGTAGGAGGAGGAGGAGGAGGAGGAGGAGGAGGAGGAGGAGCACGTAGGAGGAGAAGGAGGAGGAGGAGGAGGGAGGAGGAAGAGGGAGGAGAAAGAGGAGCAGCGGGGGAGGGAGGAGCACGGAGGAGGAGGAAGATGAGAAGCAGGCGAGACAGGAGGAGGACAAAGAGGATGACGACGACGGAGGAGAGGAGGAGTCGGAGGAGGCGTAGGCGTGAGGAGGAAGAAATACCAGGAGGGAGGAGAATCAGTGACGAGGCGAGGCGACGGCATCCATGGCTGCGTGCGGCGGCGTAGGCGTACGCCCGTCAGGACGACGGCGGAGGGGCCGTGGCCCTCCATGGGAGCGAGACGCGCCATCCTTCGAACAAGCCCCGAAGCATTGAGCGCAGGGACCCTCGTTGAGAACAACGGGGGAAAGGGGGGAGGATCGGGTCGGACAAAAAAGGAGGGACGGTAGCGAATTGCTGGCGTAGCCGGTTTTCCCGGCCCTGGAGGCGCCAGCGCATCGAAGAAAACGCCCGGCGGCGGGACCGAAACCAGGTGCACGCTGCAGATGTCGCAACACCCTCTTGCCCACCCCACCCCCCTTCGTCCGACCCGAAGGGAGGAGGAGGGGGGCTGGACTCTTCAGGCGGACGAGGCAACACAAGCCAGCACTGCCGTCCCAGCGGATCGGCACCGTCCCTGCGGCGCGGCGCGGCTGCACCGTGCGGCAGCGGGACGAAGGGGGCACAAAGGGGTGCGATCTACAAGGGGTGTGGTGCCAGCGGTGAAAATGTAGATGTTGTCTGCGATAGCCGCAGGTGCTTTGCAACCTGATTTCAAATACGTTGGCTTTGCACCAGCCGCCTCAAACAACATCACAATTCCTGAGTCCAACTTGCCCAGACGACCGCAGTCCAATGCCAATGCGAAGGCAATACGACAACCTGTCCCAGGCAGCATCATGCTTCGGTGGCAACTCATGGGAGCCTCCCATACCATCTTGCTGGCTCTTGCGAAACGACGCTAGTCGACGCTAAATCGACTCAAGTGACGGTAAATCGACGCTAATCGACGCTAGCTGACGCTAAGTCGAGGCCATTCCAATGCCACCAATCTTACGTCGTCCATGTCCTCCTACAGGCGGATTTGGGAAGACAGCCCAAAAAATCAAACAAAGACTCAAGCAGTGTCCAAAAATAGCAGCAACAAAAACAACAACAAAAAATCACCAGACCATTTTTGATCAAACTCATCGGGGCGGCCAAGAGGGGGGCGTCCAAGAGGGGGGGTGAAAAAGCATTGACGGCGGTATATGCGTGGCCCAAGGGAAGGGGCGCCATGAAATCTGGGGAGATCTCATGGCCCCGCCATGAGATTCACTCCCCCTAGTCATCACCCCCCTCTTCGCCGCCCCCGACCTGAGGGTGGACAGAACTCAGGAAACAACACACTCAGACGTCGAAGAGTTCGACGATGAGCAGCCGGAGGGGTGGGGGGGGGGGGGGGCAGCAGCGGCCAGGCGCGCAGGGCAAGAGCGCGGTGGGCGGCCGTGGCAAACGAGGGTGGCTCGGGAAGCAACGCACCCTCCGTCCAAAAAACGACCCGGGACCCGGCCTGGCGGGCGCAGGCCCGCCACCAGTGCGGTCGCATCGCCCCCCCCCCCCAGAACCGGAAAAGGGCACTTCGCTCGTCGGCCTGGCAGCGCGAGGGTCCTTTCCACCTCCGAAAGAAGAGGGAGGAGCAGCAGAGGAGGGGGAGGGGAAGGGGGAGGGGGAGGGGGAGGAGGGGGAGGAGGAGGAGGAGGAGGAGGAGGAGGAGGAGGAGGAGGAGGAGGAGGAGAGGAGGAGGAGGTTGAGAAGGAGGAGGAGGAGGAGGAGGAGGAGGCGGGAGGAGGGAGGAGGGAGGAGGAAGAGCAGGAGGAGGAGGAGGAGGAGGAGGAGCGCACGTAGCTCGGAAGCTCCGTGACATCATCAGCTAGCAACGATGGCCAGCTTGGCAGCACGCAGGAGCCTCAGGTGGACTTCAAGACCTGCTACCTGGAACGGCGAGGTTTCAACCTCTGCCTTCAGATTGTGGTAAACGTGAAACGCCAAAACTGTAGTTGTGTGCGCGTCGAAGCGCGAGACACCAAGCCGAGGCGAGCGAGGGGGCAGGCAGGGAAGGAAGTGCGAGGAAGGGCGAGAATAGGGGGCAAACAAACCTACCTCGCTTTTGACCACCCTCGCTTCCAAGAGATACCAAGCGATGCCAAACTACGGCCTGTACTGGTCAGGCCGCTTGACGAGGAGGCGCGTGGTATGGCTTGGTTTTGCCTGGAAGCGAAAGCGGGGTAGGTAATTCACGCCCTGAGAGAAGGTGAAGAGGGCGGGGGCAGGAGATACAGTGTGGCCAGCGATCGAGACAGCCCTCACATCCCACGAGGCAAAGGCGCTGGCCCAGGACGGGCATTCGCCCAGAGGTCGCCCATCCCCGCTCAGGGAGGAGGAGGAGGAGGTGGAGGAGGAGGAGGAGGAGGAGATGGAGGAGGAGGAAGAGGAGGAGGAGGAGGAGCTCAGGAGGAGGAGGAGGAGGAGGAGGCGGAGGAGGAGGAGCTGCGCCCATACCCAGGACGGCTGGGAGCGTGCCGGGACGGACCGGAGAGCTGACCAACGCTGGGTCACGTCGCCAATGGAGGGGGGGTCGACCTCCGAGAGCCTGGACCTGACCCGACGGAAGAGGGAAGGCAGGGCGTCGGGGGAAGGGAGCGTAGGTCAAGGCCCTGGCGTGCACGCGCCGGGGACGAGGGCGGCGCGCATCCACGACAGCCGCCTGCAGCCCCATCGCCGCAGCATTCGACGCTGCTCAAGCAGCGAGCACGAAGCCCTTGGGATGGGGGCGGGCTCGAGGACATCGATAAGGTGCTGCCAGGTGGCCTGGGGCTGTCTCCAGCAGGGCGGACTCCACAGGTGGCGCAGATACCGAACCGATGTGCCGTGCCACACTGCATGCTCCCCTGAGTGGTGCGCCAGCCCGTGCGCGCGGCCAAAGGTGAGCTGAGCGGGCCGCCACGAGGAAGCCTGGGCCAGGGCCTGCATCGACTGAGGGCTACTGCCAAGAGTCCACCCATGGAGCCTGAGGACTTGGCGAGACACCCCACGACCCTTTGGCGACGAGAGCGGGCGGGATGGGAAGCGCTGAGCCAAGTAAGACAAGACTGGAATAATACAGAAATTGTGGTTGCGGCAGGCCGCCTCCGCAGGCGAGCGGCTGGCCGCTGACGTCCTTACCCTGAACGAATGCTTTGCAGTAGAGGCCTTCCACTGAAGGGCCAGCGAGGCCTCCAGGCCAACCCACATCCCCAAATACTTGGCCAGGCCTCGGATCGGGAACTTCGAAAAGCTGGGAACAACTCGGGCCAGGACCTCACGAACCCGCTCACGTGGAGGAGGAGGAGGAGGAGGAGGAGGAGGAGGAGGAGGAGGAGGAGGAGGAGGAGGAGGAGGGGAGGCGGAGGAGGCGGAGGAGGAGGAGGAGGAGATGCAGGAGGAGGAGGAGGAGGAGATGGAGGAGATGGAGGAGGAGATGGAGGAGGAGATGGAGGAGGAGATGGAGGAGGAGGAGGAGGAGGAGGAGGAGGAGGAGGAGGAGGGTCTGATCTGGTCTGATCTAGCTCTGGCAAGCCAGCAATCCCCAAGACTGACGCGCCACTGCTGAGCGAACCATGCATGCCAATCCTGAAGGCTGAATCAAAATTCGGGTGAGGCCTCTGCGGAAGCCCACCTAAATGTGCTGTGCAACCGTGGCCAAGCTGCACCTTGCCAAGGGCAGCACGAACCAGGCGGAGGAGAAGGCGGAGGAGAAGGAGGAAGAGGAGAAGCTCCTCGAGCTGCTGCTTCTGGGCCACCTCGTGCTGCAGCTCGAGGCCGCGCTCCTGCGCCGCGCCGCCGCCGTCGCCGCAGACGGACCCTCTTCGGGCCCTCCTCGGCCCCCTCGGCCCTCCTCGAACCCCCTCGGCCCCCTCGACCCCGCTCCTCTGTCCCCCTCTTCCTCGGGCCCCTGCCCCCCCCCCAGACCTCCGACGTCGCGGTCTCTTCGCAACGCCGACCCCCAGGGCCTGGACCCCTTCCCCTCCCAGGGTGAAGGGGCCCTGGGACACACAAATCAATACACACAAATAACAGGATTCCCCATATTTTCTGGGTGTTTGTCTTCCCCCCACTTCCCATGTTTTCCCATATCTTCTGGGGAGTCGCTGTTTTTTCCCTCCTGGGACTCGCTGTTCATCCTGGGTCGTTCCCCGACGGCCCCGAGGCCTGGCAGGGGGCCCACCGCCCCCGGAGGCCGAAAGTGGCGGGCGTTTTCTTGTTTTCGGGGTTTCGACACTGGGCGGAACCAGAGGGCAGAAAATCCACCCCGATAATAAGCGCCCCGACACGCGAAGCCGCTCAGTATAGCAAACGCACCCAAAGGAGGAATCCAGCAGGGCAGGGCTGTTCAGTAAACGCCCAGGGCCGTTTAGTAAGCGCCAACTGTCGGGTCCGGATGGTGTGTTCCCTCCCTCGAGGAAAAGGGGGTGGGAGCGGGGGAGGGTCTGGCTCCGGACCCCTGCTTGCTGCGACTGCCTGCAGCAGGGCGTCCTGCGGGGGAGCGGCTCCGCATGCTGGAAAGAGAGGCGCCCAGAACAGCCCGCGGACCTACTCCAGGGGGAGGGGGCGAGGGGAGGGAAGGGCGAGCGCCCGCGCCGATCGGCAGAACAGCGAAGAAGAAAGCGATCACGTGGCGAAGACCCCCCCCGTCGTGTCTTGCCGCTTCCTGGCAGCGCGCGGGGGGGTCTGGGCCTGCCACCCCCCGCCCCCTACTGGTCGGGGATCTCCTGACCCGGGTCAGTCCAGACCCGGGTCAGCCAGGCCTCGCAGAATCCTGCAGGGCCCTGCACCCGAACCCGGGCCAATGCGAGGGACCCTGCAAGATCCTGCAGGATCCTGCACCCACGCCCGGGTCAGTGCGGCCCTGGCCCTGCGGGATCCTGCAAGATCGGGCGCGCTGACCCCCGTTTGCATTGACCCCCGTCTCATTTGGACACCCGAAATGGGTACGAAAAAAATGGGCACAATGCCCAACAACAAATGTTGTCCCAAACCAACAGCGGCCGCTGTCGGGCAGGCGGCCTCCTGTCTCAAACGTACACAGGCCGCGGCGACACCGACAGCGAGTCCTGCTCAAAATGAACAGGAACTGCTGTTGGGCATTGTACCCATTCTTTCCGTACCCATTTCGTTCGTGCAGGTCTCAAGGCTCCCGACCTGGCTCGTGGAGACGACGGCCGGCGGCACCCGAGGCGCGGGCGCCAGAGACGACGCCCGGCGCGCCCCGCGCGCCCCCGACGGGCGGCCCCGCGGGCCGCGGCGGTCGGCCGGCGCAGGCGGGGCTCCCAGAGATCCGACAGGCTGTGACAGTGGAGGAGGAGGAGGAGGAGGAGGAGGAGGAGGAGGAGGAGGAGGAGGAGGAGTGGGTCGGGGGCGCAGGATCGCGCCGCATCGCCGATGCATCGGCGACGCATCGGCGACGCACCGGCGATGCACCGTCGATGCACCGGCGATGCACCGTCGACGTGGGCGATGCATCGGCGACGCCGGCGTGGAGAACATTTGGCTACACATCGAGCCGCGTCGCCGATGCATCGGCGATGCGGAGCGATTCGTCGACCCCAGCTACTCCGACCCCATCGAGGAGGGCTAGAGACACATTCGCCCAGCGGTGTTCTGTCGATTTCGAGCCTTCGAGTAGGAGATCGACTGCAGAATTGGGTGGACCCCAAAGTTATACATGTTCGCAGGGTCAACGAAAAAGACGTAGCAGGTTCGTAGATCTACGAACATAATACGTGCGACTGACAAATCACTTCTGTGGTAAATCCATTATGTAGTCGATCACCTACTCGAAACCTCGGGGGCCGGTTAAGGTCTGACCCAGGCCAGAAGACCATCCTCCAAGAACATGAGACCCTCCGTCGGCCAAAACACACCGAAAATCCAAGGGTGTCCTCCCCAGGGTGCACAAGAACATCCAACAAGCAAGCACGACGAACACTGGGGCACCCTCCCCGAACCGACCTCGATGTTTACACCTCGGTCCGACTGTATCGATCTCGAGCCTCGGGGGCCGTTTGCGGCTTACGGTCCGTCCCGCACGCCTTTCCTGGGGACCCCGGAGGCCGCTGGAAGGCGAGCCCCGGAGGCCGCTGGAGCGCAGAGCCCACGACGCCTCTGAGGGTGGGCCGGACAGCGCGCGCGCTGGAAGCCCCCCATCCGACGACGGCGACGAGCACGGCGACGACGAGCACGACGACGACGACGACGACGACGACGACGACGACGACGACGACGACGACCACGACGACGACGACGACGACGACGACGACGACGACGGCGACGAGCACGACGAGCACGACGAGCACGACGACGACGACGAGTCCCCCCGGCCGACTCGCCACGCAGGGTGGCCACCGCGCCGCTCGGGGGGTCCGCGCCCTCTGGCAGACGAGGGGCGGAGGAGCGCAGCGGACGCCCCCACTCGCGGGGCGGGCGGCCGCAGCGGCGGCGGCGAGGGAGGCGGCGGCGGCGGCGGCGGCGGCGGCGGCGGCGGCGGCGGAGGAGGAGGAGGAGGAGGAGGAGAAGAAAGGCTCTTTTGCGCATCGGGGCGCCTCCCCTAGGCCTCGGCCACCCGGGGGGCCCGACTGCGGGCCACGGGGGGGCCGTCGAAGCTCGATGCCTGTTCCCCTCCTCCTCCTCCTCCTCCTCCTCCTCCTCCTCTCCTCCTACCTTCATCCTCCTCCTCCTCCTCTCCTCCCTCTCCTCCTCCTCCTCCTCCTCTCCTCCCCCTCCCCCTCCCCCCACCTCCCCACTCCTCCTCTGCCTCCACTCCTCCTCCTCCTCTCCTCCTCTCCTCTCCTCCCTCCTCCTCCTCCTCCTCCTTCTCCTCCTTCCTCCACATCCCCTCATCCTCCTCCCCCTCACTACCCCTCCCCCTCCTCCTCCTCTCCTCCTCTCCTCCTCCTCCTCCTCTCCCCTCCTCCTCCGCCTCCTCATCCTCCTCCTCCTCTCTCCCTCCTCCTCCTCGCCTCTCCATCCTCCTCCTCCTCCTCCTCCTCCTCTCCCTCCTCCACTCTTACTCCTCCTCCTCTATCCTCCTCCTACTCTCCGACCTCCTCCTCCTCTCCTCCTCTCCTCCTCCTCCTCCTCCTCCTTCTCCTCATCCTCCTTCCTCCTCCTCCTCCTCCCTCCTCCTCCTCTCCTCCTCCTCCTCCTCCTCCTCCTCCTCCTTCTCCACACCAACAGTCAAGCTTGTGTCACGCTGCAGTGCCATCACCGTCGACGGCGGCGTCGGCGCCGGCGTCCGCATCGGCGTCAGCGCCGGTCTTACGCCGCGGGGATGTTTGAGCAGGGACCGCTGGCTTTCCTATTTGCCTACCACGAAATGTTCGTAAAACCCACAAGCTGTGCTAAGAACAAAACGCTGCTCTTAGAACATAAGCCCGATGTTGTGTTCAGACAAGACAGTATCGGCCTGAAATGTTCTAAGAACATTTCGCGCAAACCACAAAAGGTTATTAGCACATCTTGGCCTCAAGGGGGGCCCGAATATGCCCGCATCCACGCCTGCCCAGGTCCCCGAGGCTCGATCCCCCAGGCGGTCCTTATGGATAGAGTCCCCGCCTCGGACATCTCTCCGCCACCCCGGCCGCCCCGCCGCCAACCCCAAGCCGCGCCCCCCTTGCTTCGCAGAGCCGTCCTGGAGCGCCGAGACGGCGGCGTTGCGGTCCGCTTCAGCGCGGCGCGCGCACTCCTCCAGCTCCTTGGGCCGGACGGGGGGGCCGTGAAGAGGCCTACTCCATCTCCTCCTCCTCCTCCTCCTCCTCCTCCTCCTCCTCCTCCTCCTCCTCCTCCTCCTCCTCCTCCTCCTCCTCCTCCTCCTCCTCCTCCCCCTCCTCCTCCTCCTCCTCCCTCCTCCTCCTCCCTCCTCATCCTCATCCTCCTCCTCCTCCTCCTCCTCCTCCTCCTCCTCATCATCATTCATCATCACCACCACCACCACCACCACCACCACCACCACCACCACCACCACCACCATCATCATCATCATCATCATCATCATCATCATCATCATCATCATCATCATCATCATCATCATCATCATCATGCATCAGCATCAGCATCAGCATCAGCATCAGCATCAGCATCAGCATTTATCATCATCATCATCATCATCACCACCATCATCATCATCATCATCATCATCATCATCATCATCAACATCATCATCATCATCATCATCATCATCATCATCATCATCATCATCATCATCATCAGCATCATCATCATCATCATCATCATCATCCTTTTCCTCAGTGTCCTTTTCCTCCTGTTCATCCTCCTCCTCTTCCTCCTCCTCCTCATCCTCCTCCCTGCACCCGTCCTTCTGCAGTCCCAGCTCACATTCTAGAATGGCCGCCCCGAGGTGCAGAAATTTGCCCGTTAATCGCGCAAGTGAGATAGAGCATTCCAGGGCGGTCAGCTCAAGCAGTGAACAAACATACCGACTGTGACACGTAAGTGCCTTGACTCGCCAACACAAATTTATCTGATCCACGATATGCTTTCACTCGCGATCCCAACACCCACGCTGCTCCTCTTCCTGTTTCTTTCACACCTCACCCAACCCCTCATTCTCCACCTCCTGCTCACATCTCTACATCATCATCGTCATCAACATCATCATCAGTATCATCAGCATCAGCAATATCATCATCATCATCATCATCATCATCATCATCATCATCATCATCATCATCAGCATCAGCATCAGCATCAGCATCAGCATCAGCATCAGCATCAGCATCATCATCATCATCAGCATCATCATCATCATCATCATCATCATCATCATCATCATCATCATCATCGTCATCGTCATCGTCATCGTCATCGTCATCATCATCCCCATCGAGGCGCTGTCCTTCCTCCTTCTCCTCCGCCTTTCCTTCCCCGCCTCTCCCATTACCTCATTATCTGCCCTGGTTTGATGTTGCCGGCTGCTTCTAGCAAGAACCTCGCCATCCTCCATGGATGCTCCTACTGTTGTTCCCTTCTCCTGCGCGCGACGTTTCCCTTTCTTATTCTTGCTCCTCCTCCTCCTCCCGAGGCAGGCTGGGTGCAGCGCTCATCGTTCCGAACTGCGGGAATGAACAAATGCATTGCCCTAAATGTTTGCCAGCGCGCCCCCCCACGTGAAGTGTGTGCACTCTGGATGTGGACGCAATGTGGTGCAAGCTACGCGGTGCAAAATACACGGTGCAAGCTGTGTTGTGCAAGCTACGCGCTGCAAGGTACATAATGATGTGGTGTAACCGATGTGGTGGAAGGCATCTGGTGCAAACTATACGGGGTAAACAGTGTGGCGCAAGCTAAGTGGTAAAAGCTACATGGTGCAAGCTAAGAAGGTGGTGCAGGGCATGCTGCGCAAAGTATGCTGCGCAAGCGATGCTGCGCAAGCCGTATGGTGTAACATCCAAATTTCCAGAACAGCGCTTGCACTCAAGGGTTCTTACTTCTGTTCTAAGGAACTGGACTGTGTCTTCGATCTGGCGGCAGTGTGGCCGCCGTCGCCGCCTCGTCACCGCCTCGTCGCCGCCCGTCGCCTGGGCCGTGTCTTCGAGCAGGCGGCTATGCGGCCGTCGTCGCCGCCCAGTCGCAGCCTCGCTGCCGCTCATCGCCGCTGTAAGACTGCACAGCAAAGACTGCACAACATAGACTGCCCAATCTATAATCCTGAAAAAAATAAGATCGATCCCCTCCCCCGGATTCAACCGCTCACACTGTCGTGCTGCAATGATCACATGATTCTGCACCATCGTCCATCCTACATGTGAACGGGTACCATCCCAGCCAGGCCGGCAACGCCCCCCCTCACCCCTTGGAAAAACTATGCGCGCAATCGTTTATCAAAAAACCCGAAGTTGTCAAAACGAAAACATATCTTGCAACACATGGGACGAGGTGCGCACGCACGCGTCGTCGCGCACGCATGTCGAGATCATTCAAAAATCTTGGGTTTCGTAGCGATTTCCAGATCGAGTGCCCCGAAAACATGTTTTATTACAACAAGAATTGAAACATGGACTCGCAACAAATATGCTCAAACAACAAAAAACGCTCGGGCTATCCCGGGCTTTCGAAAACCTTCATGTTTTCCAGAACGTGCTACCAAGCGGGCCTCTTGCGCGCGCATGTCGGAATCGTTGGAACGCCCTTGCGAACGTGTTGTCGCAAAACTCCGTCGAATCCCTCGCGCCACACGTCGAAGACATTCGAACACCCTTGCGCGCGTGCACGGGGGGGGTGGGGGGGGGCGATCCGTGTCGAATGATACCGTGCGGGCCACTCTCGCGCGTCGGCCGCGCGCGCATATCGAACTCCTTTCAAAACCTGCATCACCGACGCGACAGCGCCGTCATCGTCGTCAGCGTGATCAACATCGGCGCCGTCACTGGACTTGCCGTCGTTCTTGTCATCATCGTCACCAGCATCGATACCATCATCATCACGTCTACCGTTGTCGACGTTGCCATGCTACCGCGCCCGCCCAACTCGCCCACTCGTAATGCCCAGCGGTCACCGCCACCGCGGCCGCGTCGGTGGCCCAGCGCGGCCGCAGAGATGCACCAGCCAAATCCAAGCACTCATCACAATCGCTGCCGCCTGGGTTTTGCAAACCAAGTTGCCAGTGGGTGGGTGGGTGGGAGAATTGCTCGAACAGTGGAATGGACAGTTCACTGCGAACAGAGATGAATTTGCTCCTGTTTACAAGCATATTACAATCTACCCCGGCCCCCCCGGATCGAACCGCCCCCCCGCATCGTATGGCAGTTTGCAAATACGTGTGCCTCATCGTTTCCTATAAATATGAAAACATATGAAACCAGCCAGGCCGCCCCCCCTTTTTATCCTGTGAGGAGTCGTAAGGATGTCAAAATCGAGTCCCGGAAACATGTGAAAAACGCAAGGCGTCGCAGCAATACTGTTCAAAAGAAGTTTGAGCTCGCGCTGTTGTGGATTCCTGAGAAAACCTTCGGCGTCCCAACATGTTCACAGAATGCGACCAAACGGACCTCGCGCGCGCGCGCATGTCGAAACCGTTCGGTCACCCGTGCGCGCGTGTTGCCCAAGAGTCCTTCTGCAACAACTGGAACGAAGAGCGCGCGTGCGCGTCGCCGCGTGCGCATGCCACAATCATTCAAAAACCTTAAGTGTCGCAAGATTTAAACCGAGTGCCCCGAACACGTATTCCAAACACATAGTTTTGCAACATCCGTTTTCATCAGAAACTGCGCTCGCGCTCTCGCGAACCCTCAAGATAACCATCGGTTGTTTTCACAATGTTGCTGAATTCTGCCAAACAAGAATTTCGCGCCGCATGTCGACATCGTCCGAACGCCCTTGCGCGCGTGCTGGGGGTGCACTACCCGCGTCGAATAATACCGTGCGGGCCACTCTCGCGCGTCGGCCGCGCGCGCATGTCGAACTCCTTTCAAAACCTGCATCACCGACGCGAAGGCGCCTTCGTCGTCGCCGGCGCGATCAGCATCGGCGCCGTCACTGGCCGTGCCATCGCCGTTGCCATCATCGTCACTAGCGCCGCTACGATTCACATCGTGACTACCGTTGCCGACATTGCCATGCTTCCGCGCACGCCCAAGTGGCCGGCTCGCACTGAAGTCACGGCTGGGAAGTGTCCAGCGGTCAACGCCACCGCGGCCGCGTCGGCCGCGCCAAACTAGCTGGCCGCTGCGCGCGCGAGCATGCGCGTGCTAGCGTTGCCGCGGAGATGCACCAGCCAACACCAAGCACTCAGCACAATCGCCGCCGCATGGGTTATGCAAAGCAAGTTGCGGGTGGGTGGGTGGGATGATTGCGCGAGCAATGGAGTTGAGAATTGCAAATTCCAAAACGAATTCTCCTTTACTCTCCGATCTAAAAAAAAGACTCGCCCCCCCCGGAGTGAACGGTACACCTTCTTTTCGTCTTGCAAACTACATATGATTCTGCACACCCGCCAATCCGAAATATGAGTTTGTACTATCCCAGCCAAAACGGTATCACTCCCCCCCGCCATCCTCTGCAAAAATACAATGCACGCGCTTTCGCTTATCAGAAATCATAAGAACCCACAAACCCGTTGCAAAAGCGGGACGAAGTGTACACGCGCGCGTCGTCGCGCGCGCACGCCGAAATCCGTGAACAATCCTCGGTTCCGGAAGGATTTCAAAAAAAACATGCGTCCAAAAAAGCTACAAAAACACAAGGTCTCGCAACACGGATTTTCAACAAAAGCGTGCGCGCGCACTCTTGCGTCGTCGTCGTCGCCGTCCTCCCTCCTCCCCCGTCGTCGTCGTCGTCGTCGCCGTCATCCTCTGTCTCTCCTCGTCGTGGTCGTCGTCTTGGCGTCGTCGTCGTTTCCGTCGTCGTTGTCGCCGTGGTCGTCCTTCCTCCCTCGTCGTCTTCATCGGCGTTTCGTCGTTGTCCGTCCTGCTTCGTCGCTGTCGTCGTCGTCTTCCCTCCTCCCTCGTCGTTGTCGTCGCCGTCGTCGTCGGCCTCCCTCCTCCCTCGTCGTCGTCGTCGTCTTCGTCGTCGCCGTCGTCGTCTTCGTCGTCGCCGTCGGCGTCGTCGGCGTCGGCGTCGTCGGCGGCGTCGTCGGCGGCGTCGTCGGCGTTGTCATCGTCGTCGTCGTCGTCAGCGTCGTCGTCGTCGTTGTCGTCGTCGTCGAAGTCGTCGGAGACGTCGTCGGTGTCGTCGTAG